GCTGCGGCCGATACTGCGCCTCGCACCAGCATAGAGAGAAACGAATCGGCTTAACTTTCTCTTTTTGTGTATGTATCAAACTGCGCGAGTTGCTGCTGCTGCTGCTGCTGCGTGTGCGATCGCATGAGCGGCATACTGCGTTAGTCCTCTTCGAGACTATTTATTGCAAAACTTGAGCGTGTCACATATTTTTTCCTTCTTCTTCTCCTCTTTTCTTCGTCAACGACTAATCGATCGATTTCGTGAATAATCGCAAAAATGAAGAATCGCTATTCGCATGGTGCGCCTTATTCATATAAGCAGGTTCTTGCTACGAGAGACTTTAACGCCTTGCATACAGCAGCAAAAGTAATGTCGCTATTCTTGCGGTCTCGCCAGCTGTTAACTCTATTTTTCACGCTTCCACCTATATAGAATATGAAAGAATAGCAGCAGCTACGGCGGCGGCGGCGGCGCTAATTGGCTATACACTCGACTTGGACTCGCGACTGCGATGTCGTCGTTTGTGCGAAACATTTTCCAGAAAAATCCACTAGCTGCTATACACATATAGGCGTACGTATATATACTTTGCACGTGTGGCTGGTGTGAATAATCGACAATTGATCGTCGTCGGAGCGCTTGGATTATCGCGAGCTCGGGGTGTGGTACGCTACGTTCGACCTGCACTGCATGCATATTGTACGTATAAATAAATATATATACGTACAGCGAAGCAGATAAGTCACGCGCAGTGCTCTACGGGCTGCAGCTATTGTATACGCACTGCGGCTTGCGCAGCTCTCACAATGTCGCGTGCAGAGTAGCCGCTTTATCGTTTAATTAGTTCGTGGATCTGCGGCCGCTGCTTTTTTTTCCAGCTCGCGGCTCTTGTTTTTTTCTCAATTGCTTTTTTCATAGAACTCAAGTGCGAAATACTTTGTTTTTCGACTATGATAATCGTTATTATAATATTAAATTATGAATATTGAAAGTGATTGGATAAAGCACGAGATTTATTATTCGCACACGTGTGCCCATAAACTCATATAATCGAGCAGATCAACAAATTTCGATAAATTTCGAATTTCGCAAGTATCCGGTGATAAAGGAAAAAAAAAACAACTGAGAAACTGATTGAAATTCATAATTCAGCAAAACAACGCGTAGTCGCGTGCGAATATGCGAAAACAAACCCCTCAGCTCCAGCTTATATAGTTGCTTAGGCGTATATAAGCTCGCAGCTCGCTTACATTGCACAAAAAAGAAATAATAATAGACGGTACGGAAAAACGTGTAGGTATTATAGGTCCGCGCGCGGCGATCGCGAAGAATATCTGCGAGCGGCTAGCATACAGAGGCGCAATTTCGAACGCGACAGTTCACTTCCGCTCGGTGCTATATACGCACTAGCCCTTAGCCGATCGCCGCGTACATTATATTACGCGCGTCTCTGCTATAAAACATATAGCTTCTGGCTCGCACACGTGTGCTGCTGCTCGCGATTGAAAATTTTCCATTCTATGCGCTGCTGCTGCTGCTCCAAAGGAGTAAGAAGAGGAGCTCGAAGAGGAAGATGAAGGAGCAGAAGTAGAAGAAGAGGAGAAGAGAAGGATTCGCATTAGGCCGAATGCTCGTGTGCGTGTATACGTAAGCTGTGCGGCTTACGTGTGAGTGCAGGGTATATATATCTCGTAGCAAGAGCTGAGCCGCTGCTGCTCCTGTCCATTTTTCACCAGTCCTTCTTTTTTCGTACCTCCCTCTTTCTACCTACGCTACTTGGTCCTTTTTTCTTTCTCTCTTCTGCTTCTACTTCTCGCTTCGTATTATATATAAATATAAATATATATAGCGTAGGTATTCGAGCGAGCACTGGCAGCTCTTTTATTTTTTTACTCCAATTCCGTCTCCTCCCTTTAATCTCCCCTACCGAGCAATCCTCTCTTCTCTCTTGCTCGCTTCTTCCTTTTCGTTCACGTATGCGTGTTCGTTTGCGCCACTGCGACGCCCTCGATCTGCTGAGCAGCAAACAGAAATAAAAGACGCGGACGAGCAACAGCAGCCACTTAACTTCATTTCGCGCACTGCTTCTGCTGCAGCCTTTACTTTCTTCCTGCAGCTCTAAGGAAGCAGCATCGATTCTTTTTCTTTGCCTTGAAATAGCGAATTTTACCCGAGGGCCAAAATCCGCAATTACTCGAATTAATTTCGACAGTCGGGAGCTGCAAGATCCGACCTCTAATTCATCGGGAGCACGCGGGACCGAATTTTTTTGTCGTCTATCGCGCTCGATATGTATATCCCTCACCCCAGCTTACACAATGCCAGCGAGATCTTGTTGATCCTTGGGCCTGAATACAACGTCTGCGCGTCGCTTCGTGCAGGTACCTATACGTATTTCCACTGCTACATACGTACTCGGTAGTCGGTATACGACTATAGTCGGCAGTCGAAGGGGAAAAAGGTGTTATATCGCTATTATATGCTGTAATACAGGCACTGTATAAAGAAGCTGACTTTTGCCGATCGGCCATGTACTCGTATTATGGGTCCATTGAGCAGAGCCTCGCATTATAGAGACGACAGAGCGTTGAGCTCGCTCGCTCAACGAAACACGCTCAATGGCCTGTGCTTTTGTGCTCGAGCCGATTACGCACAAAAGCCGCATTACATCGTCGACAGGTAGCACAGAGGCGGGCGCAAATTCTGCCATCGTAGACTATGGCATTTCTGCCAGCTTCTGCGCAGCCCAAATATTGATGTGTTCGATCGCGTTAGACGGCCTAGAGCCGCTCTCGCGACAATAATGTCTGGCTAATTGTGATTTATGACTCTGGTTGTGCGTCTACGCGGCTGAGCTCGTGTGCGGCGAATTATTTAATAAATAAAATCAATAGTCGTCTACTAATCGTCTTTGCTCGAAATTCAATTAATAACAGATTTTTCGCAATCACGTTGGAGCTGCAGCTAAATCAGATTTCATTTCAAGCCAATTCAAGTGTGTATTTAAGGCTCGAGCTCGATTATTTTTTAAAGCCAGGAGAGAAAGAAAAAAAAGCCGTACAACTGGAAGCTCGCTCTTGTCGCGCGCGCGCGAGATGATTGAAATGGGTTGTAAAACATCGCGTATGTACCGCGAACGATGACGAACTGTTGCACTCGGTCTTAGCTTTTACATTTCGATAAAAGTGTAGAAGCGACGTAGGCAGCCAGAGCCGATTTAGCTTCTCGAGCGCAAATTCCGCCTCGTTCGTAGGATAGGTAGGTAGGTACGGGCATATTTTATAACGCATTAAGAAAGATGAAGTCGATCAAAGCCAATATTATCCCCGCGCAGGTTCGAGAGGAAAAAATGGTCATCGCTGGCCGTCGCAACATCTAAGCCTTACATACTTAAATGCGGCACGAACATTATTAATCCTTTGGCAGGCGCGACTTTCGAACGACGTCGAGTCGGTTATCGGTTATATTGGCCGCGCAGCACGAAAACGATCTCGCTCGCAAAAGATCGGCAAATAAAACGCGTTGCGTAGAGCCAACGATCCGACTCGTATTGGCGCAGAGTCGCGATCGAGCTGCAAAGCTCCGAGATCGTCGTGGCCTTTACGTAACCCGTACGCGACACATCGATCCGCTCGCCTGCATATATACCAACTAGGAGCCGGACGAAATGCACATGAGGTGCGGACGAGGTGCCTCACATATATTTGCTTCTGCTCGCTCGTACTCGTCGTAGGTAGGCAGCGACGTCCTTATCTCTCTTTGGACTTTGGAGTCTGCCATAGTGGCGTAGGTATACCGAATGCAGCTGCAAGCCGCTCAGCGCGAGTGCGAGTGCATTTGTGCAGCGTCGGCAGTGGGAGTAAACTCTGCGCTGGCGATCTCGTTGACGCTGCTCGCTCTCGAGACGGAGAAAAGTGAGAGAGGGAAGAAGCCGATTACGTTCTCGACGTCGCAGGTTGCAGCGGCCGCCGATCCCCGACATTGTATGTTTCCATGTGTGCGTTGCATGCGAGCGATTTTGTATGGGCGATGTGTAAGCGTGTGTGTGTGTATGTGTGTTTGAACGTGTGTGCGTGTATGCGTTCAGAGGCTGCAGATTAATGCAGGCGTCTGCGCGGCCACTGCGGACCGCATGCGGAGTGGCCGGCGGTGACGATCCAGCGAGGAGGGGACTGCTCGATGCACCGCGGCAACACACGACGACTCGAGAGTGAGAGTGAGTCGGAGCGAGAGGTCCGAATCCTTTGCGTCTCTTGGTCTCTTTCGCTCACAGACACACACACACACACACACACACTTGGCATTATATAGCAGCAGCAGCATAGGTAAGAAATCGAAAATGAGAATAAAACGAAGAGCTCGCTCTCGAGCGATGGAGGAGAGGAAGCTAAGAGGGAGGAGAGGGAGGTTTCTGCAAGTACGAGAGATGCTGCCTGCGACTCGAGACTCTTGGGAGGAGAACACACACACAAACGCACACACAAACGCACACACGAGTCCACCGACCATGTTGCGCGCACATTTTTTTTTTTTCATTATTATCATCATTATTATTGTATTTTACTCCTTCGCATGCGAGCCTTTGGCGCGTGTGTGCGTGTGTGCGTGTGTGTGTGTGTGTGTGTGTGTGTGTGTGTGTGAGTCGGTCCGAATATCAGCAACACGCGATCGTCTGGACCGGCAGAGTTCGCACACTCGCACACACATAGAAAGAACGAGAAAGAGTAGAGAGAGAGAGAGAGAGACGAGGACGCAGCGAGGCTCAGCAGGTAGGCAGCGAGGCACTCACGCACATGCACAAACAGCGAGTGTCCGCGTGTGTGCCGGTGTGTTGGTGTATGTACGCGCGCGCGAGGAGAGCGAGCCAGTCTCTACCCGTGTGTTGGTGTGTAGCTTATAGGTGTGTATATCTGGCTCTCCTCTGCTCTCGCGCGCAACCGACTGGACCCAAGCGAAGCGAGAGAGAAATCCGCGCACACAGTCTCTCTCTCTCACTCTCTGTCTGCGCAAGTCGCGCGCCCAACAGGCATATATCGTTTTATACCTACACACATACTATTAGCAGCCAAGCCACTAAGCCAAACTATAGCTGCAGTTGCAGTGCGTCGACTGCGCTAATACGCGAGGCCACATACACACACGCTTAACGCCGATTGCCGCCGCTATTATTCTTTGCCTGCCGCGTGCCTCCATTTGTTGACACCAACTGTTTGTTCGTGATTGTTTTGTTTCTCGTTCCCTTGTGCTGCTGCTGTTTATTTTTGTTATTGTTATTTTGGTTGTTGTTGTTGTTGTTTTGGTTGATGTTGTTTTTGATGTTGATGTTATAGTTGCGACTCTCCTTGCAGTGGAGAGAATCGCAGCGCGTCGAACGTGCGCGACTCGAGGATCGCTTCGTACTGCCGATTTCGAGCTGTAGTGAGGACTGAGCAGTAGTAGTACAGTGCCGCAACTGATATACCTACATGTATAGCAGCTCGTTCAGTGCCGAGTAAAAGTGTCGGAATACATGGAAAAGATTTGGTAATCGTTGCGACACCGACAACAGCGACATCAACGAGCATCCTAATAATGCTCCAGTGACAATTGTGCCTATATTCTACGAATGGAGAACGGACTACTCTTGCTGTGCCGTTCGCTCCATCGTAATATGCAGGCGATGCCGTTGCAGCAGTTGTCTTGCCGCCGGTAGCGACTCGCCTAAAAGTCCTCTTTTCCACTGGCCAGCACCAACAGCACTAGACATGTGAAACTCGCCAGTTGCCGTAATTAGTACATATCGTAGTTTGTAGACGACTACTTTTTTTTACTTTTTTTTTTACGTTCTTTTTTACTTGTGCACTGGCTGCCCGGGCTAGTCATCGATCTTCGAGCGCAGAGATCGAATTCAGACGACGCTTACATTGAGCCTAGAAGCCGGCATCGATCGGCAGCCTCGAGAATCTTCCTAGCAAGTGAGTACACCAACTGCACCATTACATTTTTATACACTTACTCGTTAACTAGCTTTGCTTCGCTCATTTCGTTTTCGCTTCTTCTTTTGCTTAAAACCTTAACTTTGCTGAAAATCATACACACACACACACACACCAATGATACTCGCGTAAACACTAATTGCAACTGTTGCGCTTGGCAATGCTATCCGCAAAAACGACGCTATTGCCTCGACTCCAAAATCCAAAGCTTGGAAATTGTTGGCCCGCCGTCATTTTGTTGATTTCGCGTCATCGGTGTTGAAGCGCGTAGGTGACTGCGTTGGTGGCTGTATTTGGTGCATCAGCATTAGCAGCAGCAGCAGCAGCAGCGACGTTTGTGCTCACGCTGGCACAAAAGAATTAAAGAAATAGCCGGTTAACTGGCTCGAGAATTGCCCTTTTGATTATTGCGTTACACATATAGTTTACGTCGAGCTGTGTGCATCGCAGCGCCGAATCAGGTTAGACCGGCTGAACCTGCTCCAGCACGCCGGTCGACCGGCATCTTTTCCGCCAGTTCTGCACGCGCCTACTAGCGAGATGCCTAAGTACGTATAGTTCAGAGGAGCATCGCAACAGCAGCAACCACAACAACAACAAAAACAATAACAACAACAAGAGTGACGACACACGAGGACTAAAAGTGGGGGCGGAGGACGAACGAGATTCACTAGATCCGTAGCAGCTAGCGACTACCAGTTATGACTGGTTGAACGCATTTTCGTGCAGGCGCCGTTTCCGGTTTTACTGGCCACTATAGGCGATTACACCGCTGCACGGGACGACGATCCTAGTGGCAGTCTACACCTGCTGCAGCTTATGTCATTCCTCCTTTGCCGCTGCCTTGTGGCTTTTTCGATTTTTCCGAAATCGAGCGCAATCGCAGCGACTCACGACTCGGACCGTGTAGCAGATAGCCTATATTATAGGTTCTTCCGAGTGTGCGCAGGTTTGGTGGCCTGCGGCGACCGAGCGACCGAGCGACCGACAAGAGAAAACGAGAAGCATACATATGCCGGTGCGCATCTATTATTACACCTGCTGGAGTAGTCTAAATTCCAGTTTTGCCGCACGCGCTCGACGTTTCGCCGCCGCCACTTTTGCGCGTGGTTTGCGCGCGCACCGGTAGCAAGACCTGTTTTGTTGCTGCGAGCCCGTATAGGAGCTCGCGAGATCTGGTCGGTGGAGCAGCTGATCGACGTGCTCGTCCTCTTCGGAGGCCCCCCCAGCCTCCCTAAAAATATCATGGCCATGGCCCCGAAAAAAACCAGCTTCGACGCCGACTATACACATGTGCCGGCGCGATTCTCGTGTGTGTACTCCGCCTGTGTTTACAAACTCGATCGTAATGTTTTCTCCGAGTTTATGCGTGCGCGTATTGCGCGTTTATTCGCCTGCTTCCTCACTCGCTGCCGAGTACAGCAATATGGTCGACTACCAACGCAGCTTCCGCCTTTTTATTTTTACTCCGATTGCAGTCCCGTCTTTTGGCTGCTCGGCCATTTTACCGATCGTCCAACTGCAGCGACTGCTCGGCTCGTTCATCGACGCTCCGATATCTCGCTTGATTAATGACGCGCCGCGTCGAACTATCATGAATCTTTGGCGATGCGATTCTTTGTTCGCGATCAGCTTTATTATTGCAGCTAGAAAAGATACATGAGACACGCGCGCGCGAGCGGGACGTCTGCCGCTGATGCTACTCGCGCTGATTTAATGAACGAACAAATTCTTCGACGCTTTTGCATGTAGCCGTGTCCAGTCCCCGAGCGTCCGACGTAGTCTTTATGACTCATTACAAATACTTTTTTCTTCTGCACTCGCAAACATACATCAATACACATTGGCAGTCGTAGCTAATAGCTTTGCATTTTCGTGCGCGTACGCGAGTGTGGGTATTATGCTCGTGCGCAGCGCACGCCGACTTCTGGCCTTTGATTTTTCTCAAACGCGCCTCGTGCACACGTGATCCTCGATTTCTTGCACTCGTACATACGCACACACACACACACACACACACACATACAATACACATACAATACAATCGGTGTGGCATTGAAATTTCTCACGCTTCTTTTTCACGATTACGCGCGCACTTTGCCTCACTGGCACTGCACATGCATGGATAATTATATTGGTAATTTGTAGCTGCGAACGCTGACTTTATCGATTTACGATTCACAGGTTGCCAATATTCTCTGTGCCATAAAAACAAGCAAAGACCATTCCAAAATAAGACGGATCCAACTGGCGACTGGAACAATTCTGTGATAAGGGGGAACACATTGTGCCTTGAAATTTGCCATATTTACGAAACACAGTCAAAGAGAAGCGAGACGAAGAGGAGGAGAAAATAATTCAAAAAGCCAAGCAGACAAGACAACTTTGAGAAACGAATTAGTTTGTTTCGTTGCCATTATATGAAAATCAAAACGAGAGAGAATGTCAACGTGCACCGAGGCGGACAGTAACGCGGCAGCAGCAGCAGCAGCAGCAACTCTTCACATGCAGGAGGCCCTCTCACCGGTTAGTATTATAGCTATAGCACGTATAATTACAATCATCTTTGGCACTATAGAGCCAGCGAAGAAATAACGATAACGTCTGCAGCCGAGACGCGTAAGTGTATACATGCGAGCTTGTGACAAGCGGCCACGTTATTTTCCACCCGAGTCCTGCTCGCATACATGAGGCTGGGGAATTTTTGGTCGTGGCGAGCAGCACCTCGTACTTTTCGATTTATCAGGCTCCGAACGACGGGCAAAAAGAAGGAGCAGGCAGCAAAAATATTCCGAGCGCACGTAATAAAAATGAGGATAGCTGGCTCGATGCTGCGCGCGCGCGTCTCGTCGCATATATAATTTATCCATATTTTAAGAATTAAGCGTCGTTGGCAGCGGAAATTGCTATATCGAGCGAAAAAGTTTATAAAACTGCAGCGCGGACGAGGAGAGAAGAGAGCGAGAGAGCAGCCAGAGGTTGCGATAAAAGAGAAAAATGAGGAGCATAAAAAAATTGACAGAGCAGCAGCAGCAGCAGCAGCAGCAGCTCGAGCGGGAGATAATCGTTAAAAATCCTCGAGGCGTGTATATAGCGCCGACGTCATTAATAAGACGCTTTACTATATCAAGGTTCCCGCTACGACGGAGCGATTACCATTTTTAAATGATTAGACTCGACGATCGCTCCTCTCTTTTATATGCTACGCACGCACTCGGACATGCGCGAATCACAGCCTCGGTAATCGCGAGCCGCACAAAAAACTCTGCGCTCGGCTAAAATTAATATACAAATTACATGTGCGACGATAATGTCTGCGTGATATTGCCTCGCACTTGCTGAGAATCGTAGGTAAACACGATCCTAGTCTAGAGAGCAGCCAAAGCAGCTCGTAACAATGCTCGCCATACTTGTACAGTAGATGATGTAGTTGCATATATGGGGCAAATTTCCTGAAGTGTCCTAGCGCTCTGCCGCACGGCATTTTTTGGCCGAATCACTCAATTTCTAACTCGCTGTAAAAGTATCAAAACGCCCCTCAAAAAAATAACTAACTAATGATTTTGATAGGAAATTTCCTCAGCTTTCTGATGGTGAGGTCCGATTTTCCGGAATTTTCCATTTTCCCCTCGGAAAATGCAAGTAAACATTCAAACTCGAATATCTCGAAAAACGCCACTTTTTTTGCATTTTTTATTGTTTCAATCGAAAGATGAGGTCTTTTTACATCGGACATGGTCGTTTTCAGAGTGTATTTTTGATAAAAACTAAGGAAAATACGGGAGGTTTTAGTTAGCGCTCGGCCGCTCAGCGCGATTTCGAGCCTTGCGCGGCTCGCTGTAACTTGTAACTCGCTCTTATGACATTGTGATTTGGCTGGAAAAATTATTAAACATATGGTTTCGATAGGAAATTTTCTCAGCTTTCTTATGGTGTTTTTGGATTTTCCGATAATTTACATTTCCACCAAAAAAAATGGACTTGAAGATCTATTTTCTACTTTTTCTAATGAAAATGTAAATTATCGGAAAATTCGACTGCACCATGAGAAAGCTGACATAATTTCCTATCGAAACTATATGTTTAATAATTTTTCCAGCCAAATCACAATGTCATAAGAGCGAGTTACAAGTTACAGCGAGCCGCGCAAGGCTCGAAATCGCGCTGAGCGGCCGAGCGCTAACTAAAACCTCCCGTATTTTCCTTAGTTTTCATCAAAAATACACTCTGAAAACGACCATGTCCGATGTAAAAAGACCTCATCTTTCGATTGAAACAATAAAAAATGCAAAAAAAGTGGCGTTTTTCGAGATATTCGAGTTTGAATGTTTACTTGCATTTTCCGAGGGGAAAATGGAAAATTCCGGAAAATCGGACCTCACCATCAGAAAGCTGAGAAAATTTCCTATCAAAATCATTAGTTAGTTATTTTTTTGAGAGGCGTTTTGATACTTTTACAGCGAGTTAGAAATTGAGTGATTCGGCCAAAAAATGCCGTGCGGCAGAGCGCTAGGACACTTCAGGAAATTTGCCCCATATATACAGCCGTGCGTGAGTGACGCATTATATGCAAAGTGTCAATAGGTCGCGCGAGCCGCCGATTTCGACACACTCGCGCTACGCTCGTTACGCGTACTTGTATGGAAGGTCGTTCCGTGTGTGTACTAGGCTCCACGATCAGTTGGCCGTTGGTACGGTCATTCGCACATATATACGGTGGCTCGCAGCAGTGTACGTACCTCGCGACTCGTTCACCGTCGTCTCTTTGACAGAGCTCGAACAATGTCTAATATAATACGAGCCCGAGAGTCCATCGATTTAGACACGGAGCGCAGGTGTAAGCCCCATCGGTTACACAGCCGGGGATCTCTCGAGCTTTGACCCTGAACGATCGGTATAGATTTCGAAATTGTCGCGCTACTGTCTTTCCACGACGCCGAGATTTTCTTCCTTTACAAGTGTATAAAGTGTATAATACGCGAGCGCTTTCGACTTTCTCGCTCTCTCGGAGGAGAATTATGAAATGATGGCGATTATGACACGCTGAGCTCGTCTATCGTAGCGTTGAATTACACGCGATCGCTACTCGCACGTGCTCTTCTCCAACTATTATGGGACCGTTTTGGAGTTTTGTTTTTAAAAGGACTTCGACACGGATTGTTCTAGGTTCTGCTCGTGATCGTTTTCTCGGGTTCAATCATATTTATACTCGAACGGCAACTGTGCTGCACCGTTGTAAAGTTCAACTATTGTCACAGCCAACTAAAATAATATGTTGGAAAGATCAATCGATATGGGGTATTTTTCGCAAATCGACCAAGCTCGTATAAGCTTGCCAGATAGTAAAAACTTTTTTAATAAAAAAACACGTTTCAATATTCTTTCGGAGTTTAAACTTTGCATAAATGAAAATTTGGTGAAAATAAAAGAAGAAGAAAAAAAGACTCGCTGCATGCACGGGGCTATATGGATTTAGCTGGCTGCGATCGCACTGGCTCGACGCTGAAATAAAGCTAAAATTTTATTACGGCACTCGGCGGCGGACAAGAAGACTGCACACGCGAGCGAGAACATGTTAAAACGTCCGATCAAAAGGCTCTCTCGCAGCCAAATCTTTCTCGGACGGTCCGCGGCGCGCCACATGAATTACCTACAAGAGAGCTCGGACTCGGGTGCATACACACAGCTGCGATGGAGCTCGAGACAGAGATAACCTTATACGCCCATACTTATAGCTACAAGGCTCGATCGCCGAGAGAAACGAAAGGGAAACGACGGACGGACCGAATGGATAAGATGAAGAGCTGGCGCGGAGTGGGGTGCGGAGGTCCAAGCGCTTTCATACATACAAACACACACACACACACACACACACACATATATTTGCCTCACGCAGAGAGAGATTCGAATTTTATGTCCGGCTATCTTTCCGTGTATTATACACACACTCGCGCAGGTAGTGTGTACGTACGAGCACACGAAGCACTTATAAAAAGACCCTTGCTGTGCTGCGCTTCGTTGCGAGAGAGAGAGAGAGAGAGAGAGAGTTAGTTAGTGTATGTGTTAGTATATGTGTTAGTGTATGTGCGTGTAAAGCGAGTGAACGTTAAATTGGCTTATATATAGCAGCCCAGCGCAGGTAAGCGCACACACGAAACTCGAGACGAGGACCGAGGACGAACTTCACCGATCGTACCTGTGTGTTGTCCGTGTGTATGTAAAAATGTGAGCAATGGCCGGAGAAGGAGAGATGACTCGCGTGGATTTCTCGCGCATATAAAGCCACATGTATACAATCGCATACATACGCACGAATATATAAGCAGAGGACGAGCTGTGCTTATTTATATAAAGTCATGTTGGCGCACAACGACCTTTTGACCATGATACGACAGACTGCACCCACGCCCCTACTCCGCATCAGCGCCACGATCGGCGTAATATCATATCATCGTAATGATCGCAGCCTTTGAATCGCAGTGTCAATACAGTTTTCAAAGTCAATCAAATTATCGAATGATCAATTTTTTATCAATTTCTAATTATCCCCTCAAACTTGACAGTTTTTTAAACTCCAAGAAATTATTCATTCGGCTTATCTGCATTATCTCGACACGCGAATCCCTCCCAATTATTTTCGCTTCTCAACTCTTGCAAATTTTCATTTTCTACTCGTACGTACAATGCCGCGCTTCGCACTATTTTCAGCTGTACAGATTTGTTTTTACAGTGGCGACTAAATTATCCATGTACGCTGTACGCGATCTTTACCGAGTTGCCATGCTGTGGCAGTACTGCGCGTCTTTCACAAAAAAAAACGACGTTATGTCCAACTAAAGCCAAGTGTGTGAACGACAAAAAATCTCGTCTCGTCTCTCTTTCTCGAGTGCAGTGCAGCAGCGCAGAAGAAAAACACATCGGAGCAGGCTACATATGCAGCAGCAGCGTCTTACGTCGGACGTAGCTAAATAAAGACACAGCTCGCTCGAAAAATAAGCGCGCGCCACGGTTATCGTTTTTTAATTTGACGATTTTGTGCCTCGTAAAACGCTCAAGCGCCACAAAGAGACGCGTGCGCAAGAGCTCGCGAACGTCGGGCGTATTTACTTAAACGCACTATAAATATGTAAACACGAGCGCGGCTGCAAATATTGATTTGCAAAGCGACGAAGCGAGAGCCATAGATCGCGATTTAAGTCGCGCAATTACATAATACAACTATATCAGATTTTCTCCGCGCACGACACGCGCATATTCGTATTTGAGCCGTGTATATTCGAGTCTAATTTCGCAAAGGTATGTTGGCAGCTATAGATATAGCGATCGGCGTAGCTCTCTGCAATTTGCGAAAATCCTTATGCAATCATATATAGTTTGACTCATTACGCGGCGATCGTGCAAATAAACAAGTGTAAAAATTCATTCGACACTCCGGCCAGCGTGTATATAGGTAGCTTATATGCAGTCGCGTTTACGTATAGGTGTATCGGAGGATTTTTTGCCTCGGAGCTCGAAGGCAGCGTCCATCGCCTTATACGCGCGTCGTTGGTGCAGCCAAGTTCTTGGCTCGTAGTCGTCGTCGTCGTCGAATAAGTACACGCACGCCGAGGCATTTTTATCCGGAAACGCGAAAGAAAGCCGTTCGAGGAATCGAATGGCGAGTTGCAGCCTCGACACGGGCTCCAGCTATACCTGTAAACAGCGATAATATGGTCATGTTAGGCGCTGCAGCTATACATAATACCTAATGCTGCGCTATATAGGTAGGAGATCGCTGCTGCACTCAGCTGCGCCAGTATCGTCGTCGTCGTCGTCGTCGTTGGACCAATTAAGAGCCATTATGTATGGGGCTCTAGCTCTCCGATTGCTTTGCCCTTAAACAGCGCTGCAGCCATACACGCATGCGAGGCACGCACCGACTCGCGCACGCACGCACCGACGCGCAACATCGATTTCTTCTAATTTTCGCGCTGTTATACCCATTTTTTACTCCCAGCTCCTCTCTCCATCTCTCTCTTTCTTCTCAGCTCGAGCCTCTTATGTCAGAAAATTCATACCTCGACTCATTTTTTCTCTTCTCTTCGTGCCGTTGCTGCTGCTGCTGCTTCTGCTGCTTCTGCTAATTTTTTCTTTTCACTTCATGAGCCGGCTCGATTTTATGCCAATAATTGCGCGCGCCGCACGCATACAAAAGCGAAAGTGTTGATTCTAGAGATGGGCGATGCTTTTGCAATTTTTGCATCTTCCTCGGCCTATTTACTTGCGCCCGGTATACGCGAGTAGCTGGAGGCGAGCCGCGTAGCAGCGCACGTGTAAGGGAAAATTGCAGCCTGTCTGCGGACGCTGTATCGCTGCTCGCCTCCATCGACATCCTCCTCTCCGCCGCTGTATCGAGCTCCCTTCCTACCGATGATTAATTCGTAATCATTATTTTCAAATTTTTTAAAAAATCACCTATATTTTTAGAACAAGAAGCAGCAAAATAGCTGCACGATAATCGATGTCGCGCACGAGCTCGCTTCCAATATAATAAATCATAAGCTCTCGTCCCTGCCGTGTGCTCTAATCGCTTCTTCCTCAATTAGTATTCAGCTCGCATTGGCGCAAAATAGTCGATATTAAGTGACGTTTCTCTTTCTCTTTTACCTCATCCCTCTTTCCCCCCTGCCATGATTTGCGAGGGGGAAAAAAAATAAGAATGAAAAAAACAGCCACGAATTCGAGGAGGATAGGCACCAAGCGAAAAAAGGAAAAAACGATCACGAGTCGCTTAATGGCTCTCAGAGGCTCTTATCTCGACTTCTAATCTTTGTCTCTCCTGCTCGGTGGTTCCATCACTCTAGCTTGTATATGAGCGAGCATCAACGAGAATCACTCGAGCGCGAAACACATATACTCACATATAAGCGCGATTAATTATTACGATCTTTCTCTCTGGATCTTCCTTGCTTTTATTTATTTTTTTCTTTTTTTAATATCCTTCTCTAATATCATTCGACAAAATCCTCGAACGTATGTGCGTGCAAGTACAATTTTTTGTCGATCGCAATGGAAAAAAAGTAAAATAGTAACAATTTATCATTGCTTGCGCAGCCATGTAGCCAAGCGACGACTGACCAAGCCGTCATTTTTCTCTCAGTGACGAGGAAACTCTAGGTACGCAACGTTTTCATACATTTTATTGCGACTCACGTAGTGCTGCTACTTTTAACATTAGTATGTTTATCGCGTATTATGCTCATTGCTTTTTTTCTTCTTTTTATTATCGATCGTATCTGTAGTATTGGTATTAATTATAAATGTCGTTATAAATTCAAGGAATAAAATCGACAAAAATCATGTGCGCCTATGTTTTACATATAAACGTTGGCAACGTACGTTGGCTGATCGATGTCGATTACTCCTTCTCGGCTCAATAAAGAAACCAACAAAACATTGGCGAATGACGAAACGAAAACATTCGCGTAGATGAAGCGTTGCGCACGCTGGTCTTTTTTCATTCTCTCTCTTCATTTTTATTATTCGTTCTAATATGACGCAGAGGTGCACGATGAATAAACGCTCCATCCTCGTAACATACGATCTCGAGCTTGGTCCGTTCATACGTTCGTCAGCGTATGTAGGATTTTTCTAAAAGTCATCATCTCGCGTCTTTGTCGTTTGGAACAAGCAGCAGAGCAGACGTTTGCCCGCTTACGCGATTCAATCAGTCATTAAAAAATATAATTTGAAATATTGTGTTACATTGTGTGCGCGCACCTATAATATACGTTGGCGTATGTTCGCATACATATTATGCTCTGCTACACGTATGTATGTTGTACAGCGCGAGTAATGGTTTTTTCTTCTACAAACGATATGTTCCCGTGAATATCAAATGACCAGTACGACAAAGTATATAGACTCTGAGATCTACATATGGGGTAGGATCGCGAGCTCCGCACAGAGCACTAGCATCTCTCCCCCACTTGGGGCCCCGCCGCCTCGATCCGTAGCTTACACACCTATAGCTACCTACGCGTACGGAAAAAAAGGATCAGCGCTAATTGCTCTGTCTGTCGTACCTTTCGTTTGTTTTTTTTTCCTCCTTTTGCTTCCCCCCCGCGCGCAAATACAAGACCCGAGCGCGCACAGATGCCCACGGAGAATGAAAAACAAACTTGAAAAATCTACCGGACGGAGTACGCACTGCAAAAAAACATTTTAGGACTAAAAAGGCACGAGAGTTGCAATGTATGTGTGTGTGTCTGTGAGCAAAAGGAAGGAAAGGAAGGAGGTAGCGGGAGAAGAAGTATCAGCGGACCACGAAGAGTTGGCGACCGTTTTCGGTTTTCGAGGAGTGAGCTCTAACGACCGAGTTTTTTTACTAGATACATCCCCTCTTCCAAATACCATTGTACAATACTCATCGTGCAATTTAAAGAGAGAGAGAGACCAGGTCCACGTGTAGTATGCTTTTTTTCATCCTCGGACACGAAAGCCCCTTTTTCAAGCTTGGCCAAGTCATCTCTCCTATCCTTCTGTAAGCATATAACTTAACAGAAGATGAAAGTGACTAGGATGGAAGTATACTCTCCCCCTTTTTACTTCATTCTCTCTCCCTCTCTTGTTTCTCCTTCGATGCTTTGGTCCGGAATTTTTTGCCACAATCATTGTTATCCTTTTTGGTGTATCGAAGCAGCGACAGAATCTTTCATGCAGTACTTACGTTTAATCTTCCTGTCAAACAGAAAAACAGGCTGGCTTGTCAGGTTCACGATGTTTTCTCAATACAAATTAATCGAAATGATCGCGAGAGCAGCACAGGAGCAATTTTATATGCACTCGCGCACTGTGCATAATTATATAAGTACGAAATTCCCTAAAGATGATTTGTTTGCAAAATGCTTAGGTCCAAGAGGCGCCAGTCTCGCCGGCTTCCTCGTCGATGAGCAATCCAACGACGCAGCCCGAGCCAACGAATGAGCAGCAGCAGCAGCAACAGGTACTCTTAGCTACGATGCAGCCGGTCGGCGTATTGGACCTTCACGAGCACCATAACCCGACAGCTCACATCTCATTGCACCCAAAATATCATCACCATCACCACCATCACCATCACGTCCATCCGAAATACAGCCATCATTTGCACAGCAGCGCCAATCATCATCACTCGACTAACAGCGATGCTAACGATCAGGTGCCGACCGACTCGGAAGACGGCCAAGCCCAAGCCGAGCGAGTGACGCCGGTCGTGGTGAGCGAGCACGACGAGGAGACCGGCCACAAGATGATCGATCTCATCTACAACGACGGCCAGAAGACCATCATGTACACCCACGACAAGGAGATCATATACGAGAACGAGGCGGACCGGGTGCAGGTGGTCGAGTACCCGCCGCCCGAGCCGTCGCCTCCGTCGCCGTCGTCGCCGTCGAGGGGCGCCAGCGCCGGCCTCATCCCCCTGAACTACGTGGCCAAGGCGAGCTCGAGCAACGGACAGCCGACGACCCTGCACCTGCACTACAATCAGCTGCAACTGGCCTCCGATCAGGATCTGCCGAGGGCCCTGGTCAACGGCGCCAGCGTACCGACCACGGCGACGGTTCTCGTGCTCTCCGAGCTGGTGGATCCGTCGGGCAACGGAGTCGTCGCTACTGCCCCGCTGACCCTGGCCACCGCTGCCTCTCTGCGCGCTGCCGGGTGAGTAACGACGATTTTGCGCCATTTTTACATTGCTTTTTCCTGCTGCGCCTTCGGAGCTGATTAATCCGATAAGAAAAAGCAGCTGAAAGAGTCGAGCCAAGAGAGGAGGAGCTGGACGGGGGGGACGATGAAAATTTATCGCGTGTGATTGCGAAAAATCAGTGTCGCGCGCATCCTCTTCTCTCGCTACGTAGTTATACGCGTATAGGAGTGCGGCCGATTGCCGGGGGCGACCGATGCATACGCGTTATGGCCAAAGTCAATAACCATTAAGAAGTCTTGCTTGTAGTTGGCTCGCGAGCGCTCATTTCGCCTCTTTTCGAGCGATAAATAAAAATTTTCTCTCTCGCGCGCGCGCGCGTGCAGCAGCGGAGAGCAGAGCGAGAAAGACCTTGAAAGGCTCAAAAACATTCTGCGTGCCATTTCTTTGTACGCGCAAGCCATCGTACGCAGTCTTGCCTGCCATGGCTCTCTTCGCCCGTATATGTATATACCTTTTTTTGTTTTATATAAATCTTCGTATATAGTCGCGGCGAGGACTCGCGCCCGAGATATTTGCGAGCGGCGCTTCTGCGCTTACTCGTATGCAGTTAATTGGAATGACAAAGCGGCTCGCTCCGACGCAGCTTCCAACGACACCAACTTTTGCACCAACTGCGATTATTCGAATTAATAAAATCCATTTAATCTTTTTATGCCTTGTTTTACCCGCGCCGCGGCTGACTATGTGTACGTGCGCGCTTCTTACGCCGAGTCATCGCGTGCGCGCTCAAAATCGACATTTTTTATGCTTCTCGAAAAATTAATATTTTCTTTATCGATGCTCGGATGCTCACTTCTGGACGACTCTTTCAACCTTAAACGAGAGCTCGAGTGGCTCGATCAGAAAATAATTTGAGTGGGTCGTAAAAAAATGAAAAAAATTCAGAAAATCTGCGATTAATCAGTGCTAACGATGTAATGAGATTCGCTAAAAAAAAATTCCTTCGTCCCCCAAAGTTTCAAGTAAGCAACCTGCGTTGCATATACTTATATGTAGATCTGTACATGGACACTTGTATAGGCGTGTATTTATACATTCATAGTATAGTAAATAATCTCTCACCTTCGTGGCCAACACATAAGTACATAATAAAAAATAAAGAACCCACAAGAGAGATGAGACCAACGACACTTTGGCATTGGATTCCGAGATCATACTCACGAGTGAGTGAGATGGAGAGGGAAGGAGGGATCAGGCAGAGAGAAAGAGAGACAGAGAGCCTCGGAGCAAAGTACATATTATGTACACGAACGAAAAATTCGTCCCTTTCACCGCTCGGTGTATGTATACACACAGTCAGATGGAACATGCGTGAGAGCTGAGAGGCTGCGCGTATCGCAAAAAAAGCGAAAAAATAAATGAAAAAAAATTGGAAAAACATCGCGGCGATGCAACATCGATACGTATTATATGTATATAATATAAAATTCAAGGCTCTCAGCCGCAGTCTCCCGTGAAAATGATGTTTGAAGATTAAAAAAGGAGCAAGGGAAAAAAAAGTCGAAACGATGAGGCTTGAAGCTCTTTTTCTTTATAGCCGCATAAGCACACGATGTACATATTATTTATCGATTGATTTATCGAATCCTTTTGCGCGAGACGAATTGAGGTGAAAGATTCCATGCTCCCGCATTTTCATGAATTTCTGTAGCAGTAGCAGCGCTGCATATGTGGATAATAGCTTAACGTCTCCCAATGTACGTGCATAAATATGTGTGTGTGTGTGTGTGTATGTGTGCGTCGCGCACGAGAGAGAGAGAGAGAAGCTTTTAGATGATTCATGCGCGGATTATCGCCAGCAGCTCCGACGCTTTTCGATGAAATAAATTTTCTCTCGCTTACTCTTTCTTTTTCTCTCTTTCCCGAATGCATTTAAAGTTTATCAATCTTAGATACTTTTTTTTTCTCCCGCGCTCATTTTTTTCGTACATCGAGCACAAACATAAAAAACACGTGGATCGTAAAAATACATAACAAGCTAATTGAAAAATTTATTTACGTCAAAAAAAAACGAGAAAGCTCATATCAATAGTAGAGTCAATAATGATGCTGACGAAACGGCATTATTGTGTGAGCTTGTAAAATGTATATCAAAATTTAACGCGCACACATGGCATAGGTTCGCCGTTCGCAATTTTATTCCAAACTTTATGATATTTCCCAATACGTTATTATATTTCCTCCAAACGAAAAAGTTAACACACTGCGTGTCTCAAGCACACACGTGTTGACTTATACCTACACATGTTCGGTGCAGCGTCATTAACAATCCGGCAGAGAGCAGTGTGTGAAATGTGTGTGTGTGTGTGTGTGTGTGTGTGTGTGTGTGTGTGTGTGTGTGTGTGTGTGCAAATATTGCTTGCACGTACATATGCGCGAGAGAGCACTTTCACTTTGAACAGGTAATTTATTGAATTTTGAAACGACCGCTTAAAAATGTCACTAGCCTGTAATAAAGTTTTGTTAATAAAGCATTACTTAAAATACCGTAAATCGTTGAAATAATATTGTCTCTCTCTGTCTTTTTCTTGCTTTTGCTTGCTCAAATTCTTCTATACTGTACATAATGACGCAATAAAACGCATGTTGAATTTCCTCGAGCAAGCACGTGTGGAGGTAAACGCAGTCGTCGAGAGTGCAGGTAAAAACGCGACGCGACTTTTCGCGCAGGAAGATGACAACTCATTCTTGTCTCTGCTGGTAAAAGCGCACAAGCAGCGCAGCGCACAATAAGAGCGCGGCTCGCACAACAATCCATCCGATACATACATAAACATAAGTTAATTTGGCCGTCTGTTATATTGTCATAATTAGCGTCGTGCGCGCGCGACTCGAGAGGAGAGAGAGAAAAGCTCGAGCCGAGACAATAATTGGCCGAGAAAATCATTAAAGTGCTGCAAGCTGCGCAGCGGCGTCGTTATAACGTTATTAAGCGGGCGCAAGCGGCAGCCTCGGCAGAAAAACAAAAAGCCGGCCAGAGACTTTTCAATTTTCGCGCTCGCTCGCGAGTCCGCGAGATCGTTATATATTACTGGCTCGCGGGATCGAGAGATAAGATATTTATAAGTTGAAAATAACGGCCGTTTCCGCGTATAAATTGTCACACCTATGCAGGCAATAATAATAGAATACATGCACGCACGTATAGCTCAAGCCCGAAGTGGCGCGCGACTTTTTTCGTACTCGGGGCCGCGATCACGCTGCGCCACGACAATAATAGCCGCTTTTTCGTCCTGCCCAACTGCTATAGCTATAGCTATATACATATAGCACAGCACAGCACGTAAATGTGTACTTGTGCGCGTGGAATTATTTATTTGACAGATCGATCCTCGAGGCCAGCCGTATAAGCACATTTATGTATCCCGAGCATATAACGATTGCAACGAGCAGCGCGTGGGTTGTCCGAGCTCGTGCGCACGCGCGCTCGCAAATACAACGAGCCTTTTGCTTATTAGCGCCGCTTATCTTTTTCTCTCTCTCCTTCCCTTTGCGATCACAATTATCGCCTCGAAAGAGAAAAAATGCCCATTTTTTTCAGCCCAACTGTGAGCGTCGTCGTCGTCGTCTTCTTCTTCTTCTTTTCGTGTACACGTTTGGCCCGATTTTTGCGGTCTTGGTGGCGAGTTTTTTCGGTTTTATCGGTGTCGGCGTGCCCCGCTCACGACTTTTTGGGGGGGCACGCACGAGGCCCCAATTTATACCTTCTTACACAGTGCTCGGCTGCTCGTCGAGTCGAGCGCAATCGGCAAAGCTCGAGCTGCTATCGGAGTAAGCGATCTTTCTGCGGTGAATTTCTCGCAAAGATAAACAAGCATCTCCTCTTGCTGCTTATATCCATCTTTTTTCTCTTTTCGTGCTTCTTCTCCGCCTCAGTTTTGGCCAATCTTTTTTTTTTCATTCGTAGTAGCATCAGCGCAGCAGCACTAACTTTTTGATGGAAATTTGTCGCTCGTTATTAAGGTAGAGACACGGCACTTTATGTACAAGCAGTAAGGATGTTTTATGTATCCTCGAACGAACCGATCCCCGTCTATTCGTATTTGCAAAATTAGCAAAGCTGCAGCGCTGTCGGCTCGTGTAGCTCCTTTTAGAAAAGAACTTTTTTATTTATGCTGCGTACAAAGTTTAGATAAGGAGCTACGAAATAATTTTTGCATGCTCGAGTCTGTGTATATATCATCGCTCCTGCTTTGGCTCTCTCTCTCTCTCTCTATAGAATGTCTACATAAATACGTACTTTATACGCTATATATTATGGACTTTTGTGCGAAGCGAAAAGCATTGCAACTAGGAAAAGTGCAGCGCGCGCAAAAGACGATGTAGCGAGCCACTATAACACCCACTCGCGCCTGGAAACTCTATACATCGCGGCTCTCCTTCTCTCTATTTCTCTCTCGTAGCTTCTGAACTCTTTTCCGTAATATAGCTTGTCCAAGTTGGTACGAGTAGACTCGCTTTGGGCTCCCCTTAAAAACGCGCGTCGGACTTTGGCGGTCGAATGTCGAGCGAAAAAAAATCTCTCACGTGTTACGGGCTACAAAAATAAACGATCGATTTACCTGCTGCCGTTGTTATTCTGCATATGAGCACAGCTCAGCTATACATATACGAATGCGTGCTCAGGTATATATTCATATTCACATTTTTCACTGCTGTTGCCCAAGCCTCGTATGATACATTACTTTTCTCTCTCTCTCTCTCTCTCTCTCGCACGCACCTATAGGGGCTAAAAGACCTTATGTATACGTGCGTATATTATAATGTGCAAGACATGCAAGGAGATTATTTCGCGTATAGCCATCAGGGTTGCTACCAGCGGCATCGCATATACTTTTCTCTCTCTCTCTCTGCGTGTAAAAGTGTCCGTACATATATGTGCAAGACCCATATAGCGCACGGCTGCTGTGAGCGATGCTGAAAAACAAAAAGAACAGCCAACGAAGAAGGAGAG